ATTGTAAAACTTCAAGCATCATGCCTCCTGATGTTCATTCGGCAAGTGTTGGAAAACATCTTCTTGGACGTGGAAGAACATGGGTACTTCAAGCCTATGTATCAGGAATGCAATTTTCAGCATCCCTTCAGCTTCCGCCAAACAGGTCCTTCACCTTTTTGACCTACCCAGCAGTTCAGTGGATTCAAACCATGTTTTTTTGGCTAGTTCAATGAACGGATGGACAGTTCGTTGACCTTTCCAAGAACTCAGGGACCAGGGACGACGTGTCTGAGTACCTCTCCCATGTTCTCCCATGTTCTCCGCTCCCCAGGACGACCAACCACAAGAGCGCGCTTCAAGGCCCACGCGCAGTTCGGGGTCGGACGGGGGTACCGTGCGGTGGTGTAGATCACCTGCGCAGCTCGAGCTGCCAAGGCCAAGGGCCTTGGCCAGTAGACTTTGGATATTTCACCCACCCGAAAAAGCCTCAAGAAGTTTGAGAATCCATGTTGTTTTTGGGGCGTGAAATGTAATCAAGAGTTTGCATTACTCCGTGCAAGACCGGCGTGTGTTTCTTTGTTTTTGTTCAACAGCACCTTTTGTGGGCGGAATCAAAGCCTATGATTTGCTGAGCTCGTTTGAATCTCTCGCACAACAAGTGTGAAGTGGCTTGGCAGCAGCATCAAATCATGCTTATTCATGCTTAGCATTCTCACTGCCAGTGTGTCCCACAGCTAATGTGTCCCACAAAGGTTAGTTTTCAGTCTCTCAGGGTTTGAAAGTGCTGAAGAAGTGCTCAAGCAACTCTGACTTCATTGAGACATGATGCCCATTCATCCAGCTGCCAATTCATGACTCAATTCGGTGTCAAAAACGTCCAGACGGCTCCATGAGGCAACAACACCCAGAGGCTTCATGCGTGGAGATGGTTGAGCCCAGGTCCAACCTGTAGAGCCGCAGAGCGGTTTCACAAGAACCTCTTAGAGCGAACCAGGCTCCATCATCCACTGGGCTCTGGTCATAAGATGGACCCCAAAGACATGCCGATCCGTTGACCCCTCTGGCACCACCCCTGGCCGCTTTCTCCGACATGCATGGAGTGGACCTGGGTTGCTGGCATCATCGTTGTGTGTCTTCACCCCTTCCTGTGGGAACTCCATCCGCCACTCATTGGGGTGAACACCTTGCTGACCCTACCTCGTACCTGGCACCACCTCGGGACCCGAACATGGCTGGCACCGGTCGTCCCACCGAAACGATTTTCGGTTCGGTACGACTGGAGGCCTAGCTCGGGTGGTTGCATCCAAGGCTTTCTTCTGGATCGCAGCATGGTAGCTTTTCTTTGACTCAGGGGTTCTCGTACTTGGAACATGTTGGCTTTAGTGTTTGGAAACCAAACACTGGCGAAGTGGAACTCAGTGGTTGACCCGTTTAAATGCAAGATCCAGATTTATGCACCCATATGCACCCTACAGACTCTACACCCTCAAGAAAAGTACTCCGTGCAAACCCATGCCATTTGAAAGTAGTACTTTCCCCTTAGGCTCCAGTCACCACGAGTGGTCACCACCGTTGTCACCCGCACGGGTCGCGTTGGCAGGTCGCTGGATCCGGGTCGGCCGGAGCGTCTGGAGACTCAGAAAGGCAGCCACTCTACCAGATGAATCAAAAGGGTGTCGACATGATTTTGATGTTCACCTATCTGCAAGGGGCATCATGTTGAGCACCCCTATATATAAACCTCCCTGTTCATGTTTAGCACACCATGCTTGTCATATGAATGTTCCGTGTAAGCAAAACACGGTATAAAAGAGCTGCTCAGGTATAAAGGGTACGAACAGACGCCCCCTTGGGCGCATCAGACACTTCGGCTTCTGAGTACATGATATCATTCGATTCTTTCCAATCTGTTTTGGGGTTGTTTTGATGCAAAAGCACCGAAACAAGGTGCGAAAAGCTGATTTGAGAGATTGAAGACCACCAGGACCTTCAGTCCCTGACCTCCAAATGGAGTCCTGGCCAGTGACCTTTTACATACCGGCCTATGAGGTGTTTCAGCACATAGTCGCCTTCCAGATTACACCGTGTTACCTCCTCCAAGAAAGAGAAAACAAAGGTTGGACCAGCCGGAGATCGAGCTCGAGCTCAGCCCCGAACTCGCAAGAAGAACCCCCAGGCATTTCGAGCTTCTCAGGGTCAGCAGATGGTTTTTTGGAGAACGGTTGAGGCGTGGGTTTGGGCTGCCCCATATGCCCTCAAGCACATGCGCTGCATGTGCGAGCTGCTTAACAACAACATCAATTTCCGCTAATTGGTTACTGCCACTTGCCTGCTTGCTGCTCCTCCTCCTCCGCCTCCTGCTACTACTACTACTACTACTACTACTACTACTACTTTCTGCGGCTACCACCCAGACTCCACAGCCAGCCATCTCAGAACCGCCATAGAACCTGGACTGGTCAGACCGATGCCGTTGACCGACCAGTAGAGCCAGTCCGGTCCGAAGCGTTTCGATTGGGGGGCCCGGGTGCCAGCCCGGACCCGGTCCAGTCATACCGAACAAGTGGAAGGTGTGAGAACGGAGGTGTAGGGACATGTGACAACTAAACATCTGAAAGGATCCTGCCATAGAGGTTTCTGGAGGTGGTTTTCCAGAAAGCTCCCTCCTTTCATGGTCGGCTACCCGGACCATCGACAAGTCAAGTATACGACATCCACTTCACCCTCTCGGTCAGTGGGGGATGACTCACGAGTCAAAACGGAAATTCTTGAAATGTCAGTTGCCGGTGAATCATCCCCTAACAATCCATGGGACTGGAATATTTACCTACATCCATCGACTAACGACATCTTAAAATCACCCCAGGCAAATATTTCCAGTCCCATGGATTGTTAGCTTACAACCAAATTGACCTTTGCCCGGACATGGTCATCACCTCGGAAAAGGGGGGAGCCGGCTTAGATTGTTCGGGATCATGTCATCCCCCGACGCCTTCATGACTTCTGATGGCTCCGCACTGCCGAGAAGCTCCCAGGCGACCATCAGGCGTGAGGGCAGAATCCGCTAGCCAGCCCGTGTGTGCCGGACGCGTCCCGAACGGGGTTTGACTCCCCTCACATTGGAAGATGCATGGAAGATTGTGTTTTTTGGGGGCTTCCGAACAAGCAAATCCAAGTGTCTACCATTGCCCCAAAGATTGGTATGTTTGACTAAGAAATGGCCTGAAACCTCGTGGTTGATTGAAACCGGGCCTGATTCTGGGGTATATGCTCTTCCAGCTCCCATGGATTGGGAATTGTTGGGGGTCCAGGTGTGAGAAGGTAGGGCATTCTTGTAAAGTTTGGAGCACTTCTGTGGGGATGTCCTGCTATTTTGGTCACCCTCTTCCACCCCCTAGGAATCCAGACGTACCTTTTGAGAAGGTGAGGAAGGAGACACTGTTATGTAGGTTTGGAGGGTCCAAGTACCTTCTGAGGAGGTACTTGGATCCCTAGGGACCAGAATCTGAAGAAATGGACTGAACTGACCTTCAAAGGAGCCTTCAAAGATCTTCATCAAGCAAGTTTTGCTTTCCGAGGGTCCTGGGTTTGGGGTGTACATCTAGAAAGACCCACATCGACACTTTTTTGGCGCGAAACAAACTATGTGGCCCCCGCTCCGGAGCTCAGCAAGACTGAGTTCAGGCCTCCTATAGACATTTCAATACAATACCGTTTCATACTCTTCCTCTCAGATCTGTCCTATCACTTCACATCACGCCGCATCAATTCCCACATCACCAGCGCAGTCGGGATGACATCGGATGAACAGCAAAAACATCAATCTATCATACCGCTACCTATACCTAACAACTCCCCGATCCCCCTTCACATCTCAGACCAACCGCAAGCTGCCCCTGATCCCAGCTGACCCAAGCAGCCGCCGCAGCCGCAGGTGGTGAACCGAATGTTGCGCGATCCGCGGCGAGCGCAGGAGGCGCGCTCCGCGGCTCCGCGGCTCCACGAGACGCACCTCACGGAGTGCTCAGCCTGACCGGTCCCCGAAAACTGGTTTTGACCCCAGGTCCCTCAGAGTCCCTCCAAGTCCCCCACAGTCGTATTTGGAGGTTGTTGGGGCCAAGACGCAGCTGTCAAATCACCTCAGATCTTCTCCCAACCTCGTATACGACCAAAGAGGGGATGAGGGTGGAGACTTTGGGAGCAACAATCATGCGAAACATGAACAAACAAACGGTCAAACCAAGAAGACACATGCCTCAATATACCGCCGGGTGGCTTTTGGATGGAAACTAGGTCGTCACGGGGGTCTATAAACCACCCGAACTGGGTGCTGGTAGACAACTGCTGCTCATCATGCATTTATCCCAAACAAATTCCGAAGTTGGCACAGTGCCTTGAATAGTTATTCGTTCAAAATGCTGCAAAGCTTTCTAGTGACTAGAAAATTCCTTGGGAATCGTTTCACTGGGAATTGTTTCATGTGTAGTAACAAGAAGCTGTTTAAGTCTTTGAAGCTTCTTTAGTAACAATAAAGCTTTCTAGTTGCTACAGAAGCTACTAGCTGGTGGCCATCGCTGTAACTCGTCGCAGACCGTGTCGCTGCGTAGCGTAGCGCAGGCGGCCGAACGCCGTGCTGTGGTACAGCGCCTTGGTGCTACGGCCGCGCCGTGGTGGCGCCGGTGGACCAGTCTTGGACAATGCCAGCGCTAGTGAGGAGGACCAATCTGAGTTCAGTTGGAGCGAAACGAAGATCGTGGAAAGCGTGCGTGCCACGGTAGGGTCGCGACTCACGCCGTGGAAAGCGTCCGGGGTGACAGCGGACCACGGAGCGGAGCGGAGCCGACGGAGTGGAGAGGGGAAGTAGAAGCACCTGCAGTGCTTGCGGCCAGGCTTGAGAAGGGGGGTTGGTACCAGCAAGCGAAAGGAACGCACCGTTCGGTATGGATATTCATACGATTTCATATGTGATCATGCAGTGATCATGTGTTTTGTTAATTTATCAAGAGTTGTATCAAAAGTCTACACTAATGAGCAGCTACCCCTGAGAATCTTTTTCATGAGACGACTTGACGATGCCCCGGCCCCAAGGCACATGCTCAGCGGGGAACGCCCGTGGTCACTTGGAGAGCTCAGCGTTGGAACGCCCGGCGCATGCGAAGTACCAGCGCTGCATGCACCACAGCTATATACTGCTAGACCCTCAAAAGCTCAAAGAGACTTCCGATGGGCAGAAAGTCCAAGGACTGTTGGTTGGTGCCACGGTGATGAACCATGATGAACCGGGTACCTCTTCGGGTCACCGTTTTGGCCGGCCACCGGAGAAGTTTCGCGTTCCTCTCGCGAATCCGGTCACCAGTGACCAGTGGCGGTGGACCGTGGTCTTTGCGGCGTACGACGGTGTACAGACGTGGACGACGGTGTACGTCTGAAACACAGACGTGGTGGACCATCGGACGTGAGTGTGTCGTGGACAGACTCGGTACTGTGGCTGGTGGTTTCAGGTATTTTTATAAAACTTTTATGCCCTAGGGCTCCAAGTAGCTTCTAAGAAGGTGTTTGAGGTGGGCTTGGAGGGTCCAAGTTCCTTCTGAGGAGGTACTTGGAGCCCTAGGGATGATTGAACCCATGAAGTGCTTCTCATGTTTGTCAATCGAGTTGAGACCACCACGAGTGTTGTGTTGTACATGGTTGTAATGCAGGCCATGCTTGGACACACCATCAATCGGAATGGCCTGTTGGGTGAGATTACCCAAACACTTCATATAGATATTCAACATTATTCAACCCTAAATGGTCCCAATGACCCTAGTGACTCAATCTGACTTACACTGCAAAGAACATGGGAGAACATGTGTCATATTTGCCATGCATGTGTCATATTTTCCCATGTTTTAAAGCATCACATCGTGCACATCATCTAACCAGTCATACCTATTTTTTTTATTTTTTTTGGGGAGAATCACCGGGTCAGGCTTTCTTTTGTTTGGACCCTCGAGGTCGACCGGAGACCGGTCCTATACCGTCAGCACGACCGGTCGCCGCGCGTCGCTTCAAAGGAGGAACCTCTGCGACGCACAGGTGAGGTCCCACCCACCTAGTAGGTCTGATCCATCATGTAGCAAACGACCGACACCTGGTGTCGGTCAAGGTACTATGGTGCCATGACCCACAGCCATTTGGTGCAAATGGCGCTTCCACACACTTTGCGTTTGGACTGCTTGGTAATTAGAGATTCCCCAAAGTTTGTACCTGTATGAGCCACTTTCGAACAGCGCTTGCAAGAGCAGGCTTTGATCTCACATACTCGACCAAAACCTGCTTGAATACTTCAGAGATACCTTTCCCTGCTTGGATACTCAGCCGAACCTGCGTCTTGATCTCAGACACTCAAACCTGCTCAGATACTTCCACTTCAGACCAGGACTTTGTGGGTTTGAGTGGTCTGACCATTTGCGTGCTCAGGAGTGGCCACTGATGTGCTCGGCTCGATGTCATTGGCGGGGACTGGAGAATTCACTTCTGAGAGGAGATGATGTTTAGGTGAATTTGGATGGCAAAAACCGGACACTTCACCTCAAAGTGAATCAAACAACTCAGCTGATCTTTTTTCTGATGATGTTTTGGATGATCCATTTTGATGATACAGTCGTTTTGATGATCCAGGTGAATCCAGGTGAATGGTTGCACTTAGGACCCGAACAGATAGGCTGACGGCGAACTAAGTTCGGTGATGCGAATGAAGTGAGTCTTTAGGGGGTGGTGGCAGACGAAGAAAAGCGGATGTAAACCGCATTAGCCTGCTAGTTGTTCTACTTTTCGGATTATATTTTTGGTGGGTTGGTGATGCAGAAGATGCAAGATGCGCAAGGTATTGCATCACTAGCATCATCACCACACTATATTAGACGCCTCGCTTAGGTTACACATGAGCCACGGTCAAAACATGCGAAGACCACTTTAGTAAAGAGGGGTAGGTTTGTGCACAAAACCCTGCAAAACGATAAGGTCTACCTCAAAACCGATAACCCCAGCGCTGTATATGGTCATAAGTATGCGACGAACTCAAAACGCTGTAAAACGATAAGGTCCACCTCAAAACCGATGACGTCCATTTTTTAGCTGAAGAAGAATAAGGAGTTTTGACCGTCCCTCACATGTGTATTGAATGTTTGGAGTTTGGGTCCTGGCTTTCGTTTCCCCCTCAGGCTTTGATAATCCATTTTGATGATAATCTTGAGGATCCACAAAGAGTTTCACTGAAAACTATAGATGAAGCTGAAGCAAGCATGTTGTATTCAACAACCTCGGATGCTTGTAATCGCGGTGACATATAGGAGAGGACTTCTGTGTACGTATTTTGGAGAAAGAGTTTCTGCATGTTCCTGCTGAAGCGGATCCTGCTGACTGAAAGCAGACTGTAACGGGAAAGTGGCGCTTGGCACTATTATGCTGGACCATAGAGAACTCATGCTGTCTCAGTTCCCAGGGATGCACCACAAAGTAGTTTTGGTTGGTCCTCCCCCTTTGGTGAACTCATGTGTCAATTCTTGCTGTAGGTTCCTTAAGCAAATCCAAGTTGTCTATATTTGTTCCTAACGATCTTATACGATTGTTTTCTACATTTGGTTTGTTCAAAAGTACTTTGCAACAGCACGGGCAGCTACTAATCCCACCGCAAGTTCTTTTTGCCGCCGCCACCACAAGCACCACCACGATTACGACTGCTGCTGCTGCTGCTGCTGCTGCTGCTATTGCTGATGATATTTCTTGATGATGATGATGATAATGGCCAATGCAGAACCAAATGTTAACAGCGACCACCGACCACTTCAATACCAATACTTCAAACCTTGATCACCACAGCGATCGAGCGATCTCATTATTCTTGGTCACCGCGGATGAGCCAGAAACGCCGCGCCGGAGTCGTTTAGCCCCGCGCAGAGATCCGTGAACCGTCGTGGCGGAGTCGTTTGGCTCGAGACTTTCTGCCAAGAGATCTGGTTGCACTATGCTGAACCATATGGCCATATGTTTTTGTTGGTCGTTTATTTGGGCTCAACAACCAGGGGAATTGGGTTTTTGTCCCCAGTCCCCATATGTTAAAGACACGTATGATCTCATATTGGACAGTTGTGAATCGGACAGGCTGAAGATCCAAAAGACCACATTCTGGTCACGCAATACATACCCGTTTGGCCTCGCTCGTGCCTTCGTTTCGATTGTGTTTGAGGTGGGTTTGGAGGGTCCAAATACCTTCTGAGGAGGTACGACTGGAGGTGTAGGGTACAATTCTTGTTTCCGGGCCACTGGTCACCCACCACTCACCAGCTGCCGATCATTTTCCTTGAAATGGCTCCCTTTCTCCTGTAGATTTGACCCTGAAAAGGATCTAAAAGGTCTGGCGGCCATGGGCTCTTCTCTCTCTCTCAATTTTAGCCTTGGTTGGCTCACAACAAGATCCTTGGAACTCCTTCCTTTCAATTTGGCCGTTCAAATCGGCGGCTTTCCTCTAAAATGCGACCGAAACAGGCGGCACTGCCGTCGTTCACGGCGGCTTTCCTCCGTTCACCGGAACTAAGACTTGAAGCTGGACGAGCACGGGTCTCCGTTCGCCTTATAAGACTGGACTGTCCTTTCCGTCCCAGTGGTCGGAGGGAAAGAAGGAAAGGAAGTCGACGCGGGACTGGACGGACGAGAAGATGACGGATGGTGAACGCAGTGAAGAAGTGGTGTGATTTTTTCCTACATAGTTGAGGGTATGCATGGAACATCATGGAACAGTTTTGACAAATTCCATATTCTAGTTGTATCATGTCGAGTGTTGAGGTTTTCTGGCCACTGGTTTCTTAGAGGGTTGCCTTAGAAATCTTAGAATTGGGCAATTCCAGGGTCAATCAAAGTAAAGATCCGGACGCGGGTTGAACGAATCCAACAGAACTCTTGGGCAGCTAAGATGTGCCTTCTTTTTGTTGATGCAGTACTGCAAGGGCAAGTAAGTCGTGATGCCAAATAGACTGCGGTCTCTCTCACTCCTAATCCAAGAATGATTTGGTCAGTTGTGTTTCCATTGGAGGATCATCCTGGCCACTTGCTACTTGGGTTCTGAAACTCCCAAAACTGATCCATCCCCATTGGTCCCTCTTTGGCCAAAACCTTCCGGCCAATCCATGCAGTCCCGCTGCCAACGCCGAGACGAATCGTTTCCCTAGGAATCTCTGGGCATCGTGGATCTGAATACCACGTCTCGGAGCCGGATCCCTCGGATCCCCCGGAAGTGCCACTGGATCCCCCGGAAGTGCCACTGGACCGCCAGATTGATTGCTTCGGATCACGAACTGGCAAGGGCAAGAACGATTCGATCGTCCCTAGGCCTCACCTTTGTTTAAAAGGTGTTTGGGGTGGGTGCCAGTCATACCGAACTTGAGGAGGTACGACTGGAGGTGTAGGGTGTGGGATCTTGTGGGTGTGTCTTTGTGGCTGTGAAGGGGCACAGTGAGATGATCTCAGTGGGTCTGAGGAAGAACTTTGTTTCTGAATATGAGCGATCGGACCAAAGAATGTGGTGAACAAGTGCAGGTTGGTTTGGGTCAATCCAAATATTGTTTGTGGATAAGCGGTGCACAGGGGCAGACTGTGACTGGACACCAATCCCCAAACGTATCCAAGTTACGTCAAACATTTGCAGAACGACTTACCTCCCAGCGTGAAGCACACCGGACGCCTACATTGCATCGGTCTTCTCATCCCTATCATCGAACCGCCGATGGACCGTTGCCCAGAGAAATCGCTTTGCCGAAAAATGACACAAAATGACACCGCAAAAAGGCGAACGCGAAAGCGAGTGCGGGTGGGTTGCAAACCGCGCCTCAAAACGAGAGGGGTTTGCTGAAAGTAAACCTCCCAAAGCTCCAGAGATGAAGACTCGCCCAGAGGCTCCAAACAGCCCGACTGGTCCCTCAAAACCATAGGGTTTTGAGGGTCCAGACCCCTCCATAGGTTCGGGTCCGACCCCTGCATATGAGGGTCCAGGAGCGTTTGAGCTCCTAACATCGGGAAAAGAATCGGTCTACGGACTACCGAACTGACCAAACGAGCCCATGACCGGGCTCCGCTACCCAGAAGCCGACCTGTGTGGGAATCAGTTGAGGCGGTGTGGGGAATTCGTGGTTTTGTCAAAACCTCCACCAGGGATGCCTTACCACAATTAGGGGTGATGGATATATGTAATGATATGTTCAACATCTCCTAGTAGCGTCCTTGCTCCTAGTAGCGATGCCCTTTGCTCCTAGCAGCGTCTACTAGTCATTTTTGCTGGTTGAAGTTAGGATCCAGCGGCTCGCATTCCTTACGAGTGGCAGAAGCTCCACCTTGACTGAGGGCTCACAACATGGGATGCTTTGATTTTTGGGGGGGGCGCTCACAACAAGATCGGTTTGAATCATTTTGTGGATGCATCAAGATAGCCGTCAGTCCAGGTTGTCC